ATGCTTCTCTCAGACTCCTCCAGACGGGGCGGCAGGATGCTCCGGTGGGCCTGGCGCTCGCGAGGACTCCCAGGAGACGCTTCCCGCGGAAGGGAGCCCGCGCACCCTCGCGCGCTCTGCTGCCCGGCGGAGACGCACCGAAGGTCCCCCCCTTTTGCACGGGCCGCGCCTGACGTCAGAAGCATCCCCCGCATCGCTGCATCCTTCTCACTCCTCGCTGTTGCCATGGCAACCTCTGGTAGCGGGAAGGAGGGGGCGGGAGGTCTTTTCCCGGGCGAGGCGGAGCAGGAGCTGGGCTCGATCGAGGAAGGGACGCTCTCTGGGGAAGGGGATTGTCTTCCCCGGGGATGTTCCTTTCATCGCACCCAAGCGGGGGCTGTTTTGCCTCGGGAGGATACCCTTCGAGGCTGGACCCCCTCCCGCGCAAGGATACCCCCCCCGCGCGCGCGCGCAGCGACGTCTCTCCGCCCGTCCGCCCATCCGTCCGCCCTTCCTTCCTTCCCTGGGACGGCTTGCTGGGGTAGTGCGCGGATGGGGGTGGGGGCTGGAAAGGCTTTCCCTTCCCCGTTTCGCCCCCGCCTGCCTCTTTCATTCACAGCGCGAAGTACTCTTAGTCATGCTTACGGTCATGCAGAGAAGCAGACGTGCCAGGCTGAGCAACCTGGAGCGGGTGGAGAGGCGTCGCCCCAGGCCGACCAGATCCTGAGCGGCAAGGCTACTCCTGGCCGGGGCGACCGAGGGGGAGGAGGGGCTGCCCGGACCGGGAGCGCAAGATGGAAGGGCTTCCCTGCCGATCGCCTGGGTTTGGGGCGCGCGGCGAGAGGGGAGCCGCCCCGGTTCTACTACTGGGAAACCGAGCAGGAGATGGGCGGAAGAGGGGGCTCCCAAGGAACTCGTCCTCTTCGGCAGCGCAGAACCTGGCCTTGTGGATGGAAAGGCAGGCGGACCTGCGATGGCGGGGGGTTGCGGAGGGGGGGATCCTGCTAGCCAGGTATCCGGTCCAGAGGGTTTCTCCCTTGGGCAGGGGTGCGGAGGGGAGGGGAGCTCGGATGTGGAGTCCTTGCTTGTTTTGAAGAACTTGGGGCTGTCAGGGGTGCTGCCTTTCGGATTTCCTTCAGCCTGATTTGTTGGGTGGGGGGCCGGGCTGGAAGGTCTGCTCACTGCCAAGAGAAAGAGGAGGTCTGGAGAGCTGGAAGTTTATTCTCAAGAGATCCTGCCTCTCCGTGGGCTGATTTGCTCTCTTCTCAACAGATGGGGAATGCCTTCAAGTGACAGGGTGAGGAAGTAACATGGCAAGTGAGTAACAGTCCCTCCCCACCGGGAAAACCATGGACAGAGGTCTTTTTATATTCTAGAGAGAGAAATAGGAGGATTCTGGGCTCTCCGCCCCTTGCCCCCCCCCCCCCCCCCCCCCCCCCCCCCCCCCCGCCCCCCCCCACCTTCGCCGGGCGGCAGGCT